TTAATTAGAACCAGATAAATTAGGTAGTAGTGATGGCCAACAGTCATACGGCTTGCTAACAAATACATTTTCATGGCATTCTGTAGATATCCCAAAGTGTTAACTATAACAGAAGCAGTTCAGTTCTTCAGAGCAGTAAAATTCCTTGGCTCTGAAAGCATAGCAGGTTTTAATAGGTGTATCACCTAGTAACTGTGGCATTATTAAATATAAGGAGACTGAAAAACATGGTAGAAGCAACGGAAAAGTCTGGCCAGCATGCTTAGTTTGTTTTAGGACTATAGAGAAATCTATTAACTATGGCCGCTATAGACCAATCTGATTAGGAAGTGGGACAAGCTGTTCCTTTCATTACACCAAACCCACACTGCACTTTGTATCAATTATTTGGCTGTCTGCAGCATGTAGATTAGAATAAAGGGCTTTCTCAGTGTTTGTGAATTTTGCGGATTGCTGATTAGTAATTAGAGTACTGAATGAAGGAAATTAGGCCAAGACTGAATGGGAATGCGAAGGTCTTAATTCAGTAATACAGATGTTAGAAATAGATTGTCTTGAACAGCTCATTCAGTATAGTGACATTGTACATATCCATGGTGTTATTTTGCTTCCCATGTAAGATTCAAGTCAAATGCCTTGGAGATGGTTTCCTCTTCTATGCCTTGTGATATAGCTGTATGACTATTAATTTAGTGAAATATCCTGTTTGCCAGGTGTGGGAACTAGCTGATTTTATTGTAATACCAGATCATTACTTAATTCATATGCAACCAAGCACAGCACATGGAAAGCATTATAAATCTACTTACAATGTGGCTGGTCTGATGATAACATTGCATTAAATTCCCAGGTGAGGCAATTTAAGCAATTGCTTTGCCATGTGCACGACATGGAAATTAAATTCTCATATACGCTTTAGTAATAAACCAACCTCATTGTTATGTTTTTGCTTGTGGTAGGCCGTAGAACCTCATTCTGCTTGCAGATACAGTGTGTCCCGTATAGAGTCATATAGCAGGTAGTACCAGAGATGACAAGTTTTAATTAATTTAAACTAAGTTAACTCATGTTGTTCCCAGTTTTGCAATGTGTGCCCACAGACACAGTGAGCTCAATTGGGAAATGTCAAAGAGCAGGTCAAGTAGCTAGATTATTTCAGACCAAATTTCTAGACCAAACTGAAAAAGTGTCTCTGTTTGAATTTGGCTTTAAGAAAACCAGGCAATCAGTACACAAGCATCCTGTTCCTATCAACCAGAATCTCTTTACATGTGAAATTTTTATTTTTATAACTACTTTTGTCGTCATTTTAGAGTAGTCAGATAAACCTGGTCCCTCTAACTGCACAGGGGACGCAATGTATTGTTAATCTGTCACAGTTCTCTCGTGTCTGTTCTGTAGAGTTTTCCAACACTATCTAGTTTGTTTGAAGTATGAAGTATAAATCATAGAAAGTAAGTTTTACACAACTAAAGTGAGGCCTGCTCTTAAACAAGTGTGTGTGCACACATGTGTGTGTGTTTGATATATTGCAATGTGAAGCTTTTCCACCTTTATGGTATAGGCCAGGCATTACAGTAGATTACAGACTGAGCAGACTGTGGCCTTCTCCTGCAGCCACACATAGGGACCAGCAGACAGGGGACGTCTCCTGCAGCCACACATAGGAACCAGCAGACAGGGGACATCTCCTGCAGCCACACATAAAGACCAGCAGACAGGGGACTTCTGCTGCAGCCACACATAAGGACCAGCAGACAGGGGACTTCTGAAGTCACACATGAAGACCAGCAGACAGTGGACTTCTCCTGCAGCCACATATAAAACACCAGCAGACAGTGGTAACTGACAACCAGGACTAAAAATGTTGACAATTTCTTGATTTGCCTGGTTAGCTTATGTATAGAAGTCATTAACTATTTATAAAATGCATTATGAATTGGGTTCCTTCAAGCTGTAGCTGAATGTGTGACATTTCCAGCTCAAATTCTCATGCTTGCATTTGGCTAAAGTACAGATTTTATAGTCTTAATAATAAGGTAAAAACGTTTTAGCTTTATCAGGATACAGTAAAGGTTTCAATTCGTTAATTTAGAATCTTCTAAAGTATCATGTAGGTAATTAGTAATCCAGCATGAGTTTTTAAAATTTCACAAAAGATAACATGATTTATTGATTTTCCTTAAAACAAGCCATTTGTCATTGGAAAGAATTTCATCTTCGTTGTTGCTGTTGTTTTCAAGCAGCACAGCGATGATTGCAAAGAGTGAGTTGTGGTTATGACATACAGTCAGCTTACTTAAAAATTCAAATGCTGAGAAATTAGGAGAAAATGTTGGTCTTCCAAATATAATTCTTAAATAAAGAACAGCCTGAATTTGTTTTATTTTTGGAAAATGAAACTCTAGTGCAGACTAGAATGGCATTGTACCGTTCTCATGGGGAGTTATTCCTATTTGCAATGGGCCTGCCAGGAAACACTTTGCTACGCTCAGCATATCATTTGCTTAATTACAGCCAGAAACGTCCTCCATGACCTACCTCTTGTCCCAGTGGTGAGGCGTGCCTTTCACAGAGACCACCTACAACTATGGGTGCATCCTCCTCTATGGGAGCACCATTCTCTTCATTGCTGCTGTCGAAGCAGCGCCTCCTGACCAGAGCAAGATTAGATAACCAGGGCTCTACATTTGTAATGTCGTCTTTGTTTGAAGTATGATAAATCTAAATAAGAATATAATGGAATTGCACAACCTATGCCAATTTATTGGTATTTTGGTAGAAAGGGGGAAACAGAAAACAATCTCCATATGATATTTTTGCATCCTGTGGAATGTTTTAGTCCCCCATCGTGATGAAATGAATAATGCAAAAGGCAGCTCTGATACATCAGCCTGTCTTAAAGGTTTTCATTTCCTTTAATGCTGTAAAATACTTTTGCCTAGCTGGTTTGAGACTGTGATGGTGGGGTCTTCAAGTGGGCAGAGAGGTTTGGCATGATCTAAGTGGGCCGACCTTGTACTTAGCATTTAAAAATGTTCTGTATGAAGTCAGTAGAAATGGGCAATCCACAGTAGCTTCCACAGGAGAACCAGGTTAAGCATGTGCGCTCTGTGGTGAGAAAATATCTGGTGAGTTCACAGACAAATTGGTTGGGCCACGCCTGAACTTTGAAGAGCTTGCATATTGATGTCCTTACTGACCACACACCAAGGCCTTATGTCTCTGACCTGCTCTTTTCCCTGCAGCGCAGCTATGGTCTTATTTATCTCCTCACAGAGATATTGCAGCTGCTAAATTTTAAGACAGATGTATGTGTCAGGAAAGCCCTGTTGAAGAGGGAGACTCTGGGCAGGCAGGGGTGGACACATCTGTCTCTTTTATCACTAAGTGTTCTATAGCTCTGTGTTGTTTCTCTGAGTCTCTCCAGAGCTGGTTTATAAGGTAGAAGAAACTCAGCTGAGCATCATGATCCTGAGGTTCTAGGCACAGTGGAAGGAGAGTTCCCTTTAGAATTACACGATACTCCACTGTTTTCCTCAAACAAATATCTGGGTGGTGTGTGTTTATTTATATTCCAGAAAGCCTTTTAAAACTGAGTTCTGCTAGATCCAGCATATCATTTGCTTAATTACATCCAGAAGAGCAATAAGCTGAATTATATGCAATAAACCAAATTCTCTGTTATGTGCCACACTTGGGAGAATTGAAAAAATAGTAAAGAAAGAATATTTTCTGTGTTTTGTGCTTCAGGTAAGGCACCCACTTGAGAAAGACAAGCCTTTTAAATTATCTGTACTCAGTGGTTGTTCTTGTCTGAGGTTCCTTTAAATAATATGATTTTAAGATCTAGTGAGCCGATTGCTACCGAGCAGTGTTACTCATTGACTACTAGAAAAATAGAATCGTAATCTTCCAGTTGCCTTTTGCTTATGGATTACAGGTAGTTCTTTGAAACTCTAGAGCTTTCTTCCAGACCATAGATGAACAAATAAGAACTTTAAGTCCTAGATCGTTGGAGTCCAGGAAAGACATGACAGCTTCCCACCCTCCATTTTCTAATTGACCGTTTTACTTAATTAGTTGAGAAGCAGAGTCAGCAGCAAATGACTTTTGACCCTGACAAGGTGCAGATGAAGTAGGGACTGACAACCAGACTCCAGTCTCACAACTGTTTTTGTGCATTTAGACAAGGCGTGAATGGCTTGGAGCCATGTCCCTCTGACTGCAGTGTACACAGTGTACCGTGCAGGTGAGGGGATGGATGCTCCAAAGCACGATTCACTGAAGACAGTGACTCATAGCCTTTAGTTACAGGAACTGGGGAATTTCTTTGCGTTACCAGTGTCTGTCTGTCTGCTCACCCCCCCACTTTCTCTCCCTTCCTTCACCAGCATTGCTCTTCCTTAGGCTATTACTTAGAGATGAGTTGGGGACATTTGAATACCGCTAGCTAGGGAATGGCTTACAGTCCCTTCTCTTCCTGGAGAGTAGCATCCCAGTGATGAAATATACATGTGCTTGTCCAGACAGCCAGTGCACAGTTGGTGACAGCAATATTATCCTAGAAGTGGAGACCTTCAGAGGTTGTTCTAGATTGCACACGGTGCAATTCCTCCGGAGACTCCCATACACTCCTGCTTTAATTACAATCTGAGTTTTCAAACTAACCAGCTATATAACTTTGTTTCTTCCAGTTTAGTGGTTTTATTCAAACAACATGCAGAAGAATAAATTAATTTTAATCTACTTATGAAAAATAATAGAACATTAACACAAAGCAGAAATTTCTTTCATTATTGGTATTTCTTTTTAAAACAAATTTGTAATTTCCATTAAGCTGTGTTGGGGAACTTTGAGTTAGCTGCACAGCTTTACCGGTAGGCTTCCATTAGGGGGCTCCCCAGGGTCTGAGATGGTCGCCTTGATACCAGGAATGCTTGGCCGTGTTTACTTTCTAAGGCTCACCTCGCTTTTTCCCTTTTTGTTTTGTTTTACAGAAAAGGTCACGGATTGCCTACAGTGACGAAGTACGGAATGAGCTCCTAGGGGATGATGGGAATTCCTCTGAGAACCAGGTAGAATGCTAATGAGGAAGGCCCGGTGGGTGGCTGGAGGGTGAAGGAGGTCACAGGCACACTGGGCTCTCAAGCTGCTCCCTGACAGTGTTAGCAGCAACTCATGTGGAAGCGATACTGTTTAATGCAAAGCTGGAGTCTTAATCAACTTCAAAATGTTTCTCGGAGATCTTACATTTAACCCTTTACCTCGTGATCACTGTCTGCCATCTTTTAAAAAACTCTTTTCTTCTCTTTTCTTTATTATTTAGTACTTAAGGAATAACTTGAAACACGCTGTTTGCAGACAAAGCCAAGGTCTTCACCTCAAACACATGTAAGAGGAATAAAAAAGTACATAATGCAGCTTTGATAGGAATGCAGCACAATTAAGTCAACACTCGCAGCAAACAAATGAAAGTAAGCTTTCGAAATCCAGCCTCACGGCCCCGGCTCCCATTGTGTGTGTGGCTTCTTAAAAATACATTCACCAGATGCAAATGCCCAGCGCCAGTGTGGGACTGTGTGCATGCCCAGGCAGAGGCCTGCCCTGCTTCTGTGGTGACAGTAGTGACAATGGCAATAGGATAAGCCCTGCGTGCACCTCAGGATCTGCATACAGAAAACACATTCCCGATACAGTTTCTTCCTAAAAGCTTCTTACAGCTCGCCCGCCATTCCTCATTGGACGGCCGCACAGTCGTGTCATGAGTCTAATTAGCACCCTGCTACTTTCTTTGAATTAATGCTGCAGACACCGTAAGTTCACATGGTATAGTATGTGCAACTCTTTAAAAGCGCGTCTCAAGATGCTTGCTGTAGAGCCGACTTTGTCTCTCACAGCCCTGGGGACTGCTGGGTAGCAGGGAGCGCTGTAGGTAAGACCTTCTTCCAAGGGTTGCTTCTCTGCCCCCAGAATGAAGCACTCCCTGGCTAAGACACAGCTGTGACTGGAGGAAGGTGCAGCCCATCCATCCAGCAGAGTTTGCAGCGCGCACCTCCCACTTCAGGGTTTATATTTACTGGCACTCAGTTATGCAGCACAGAATGTGAGCACTGTAACCTGGGCGGAGGCTGGTGTGACAAAGGCACCCGTCCACCCACCCGAAAAGTGGGAGAAGAATCACTGAGCAGGCCATTTGTTTGGGTTGCCTCTTCCTCTATGTGGATGGTATCAGCCTGAGTTCAGACATCACTCAGCTTTGACTTGCAGTGTCAACTTCCCTGACTGAAATGTGAGGACAGCTAACGGGGGTGGTGCAGAACAGAAGTGAACGGTAATATTGGGAGGGGGTTTACTCAGAAGAGGTTAAAAAATGGGAGAATGAGAGGAAAATATTTCTGCCTTTTTATAGTGAGGTTTGGATTATGCATGACTCTTGGAATGAATCACAATTTTCTTCTCTAACTACTGTAAAAAAGAAAAAGCATTATCTTCTTTGCAAAAGAAAACAAACAACAAACAAAAGAGTGTACGTGCAGCTTCCCTGTCAGTTCCTTTGGAAGCTGTAGACTTTCCCAGTCTGAGCAGCTGCTGGAGAATGGACAGAAGGGAGGGGCTCCTCCTGCCTAACCCAGGCTGCGTGTTCTGATGATGCTGTAGTTCTCTGACAGGATCCTTTTTACACCTTGTTCGCTTCTCTTAAGGGACATTTAATGCACCTAAAATATTAGCCTTACATACATATAAGTAAATGCCTAAAGAAAAATATTCCACAAAAATAGATTTGAGCTCATAATTTTTGAATTTTTCAAGTTATATCCTGTCACTTTAAAGTGATTATGCAAAGATTTCCCCTAGACTTATCTGAATGAAACTCACAAGTTCTGAAAGTGCTGGCCCTGAAACTGGTAAGGAGCTGCCAGTCCAGTAAATACGGCACAGCGGATTGCTGTTGTGAGGGTGTGGAGATGGTCGGCTACAGCTCCGTGGACTTTCCAGCCTCACATTTGAATGAGCTGTGAACATTCACAGAGATCATGCTAAGCTTTTTGGATAATTTGTTACCTTGCAGAGCAGAATCTCCGTGACACGATGAAGTCATTAAGTCCTGTGTTGACGGTCTTTGTCGTAATATAGGAATTTAAATGAGCACGCCCTTAACCACTGGCTTCAGACGTCACTTGAAAATAACTTTTATTCTCTATCAGTGTTGCCCTGACTCAGCAGTCAAAGCAGAGTGTCTCTACAGAAAAGGTTTTAATGGGCTCTTCCATATACATTTGTACAGAGCAGAAGCTAAGGTGGGTGTTGTGGGTGGAAGGACTACCCACGATCTATATAAGAAGCTCTCTTCTGCCCAGAGAGAAGTTTATGTTCATGCTGACTGTTGAAGCACTGGCTTTGAGGCCTTTTTGTTGTATATGAAACACTTTTAATATACACATAAAACTTGGGTATAAACAAAATTAGTCATAGTCACTTAAATTAGCATATATCTGTCAACTAAAAATCAAGAGTGATTGAAAGGAGAAAAACAAAATAACAGCCAGTAACTGTGACTGCAAGCATATAAAGTGCTGACTTCATTCCTAGTGCCTTGTGCACAGCTCCAGACAGTGGCTCCTTGTGACGCTCTGGACAGGCACGAACACAGTAGCAATCAGCTCCATCTCTGTGGCGTTTGTGGCCAGTCCTGTTAGACATCTACAGCCGACTGTTGATGCGCGTAGCTGCAATCTTCTAGCTGACTATCAGTAACAATAATTTACTTTGGGGGTGTATTTATACATCTACCATGATTGGGAATGCCACTGTTTGTTCAATTAAGGATTTTTCAAGAGTATCTTTAATGTCCTCAGTACAATATACATTTAATTGCATTCCAGATCAACTCCTGCACAATTTCTGACTCATATCTGTTTCATTTGATTAAATATACCTCATCCTGGATTTACCAAGGGTGGGGTGTGTGTGTCAAAATCTGCTCTGCACCTGGAAGTGCTGCGGATCTGGTCCCTTCCCAAGAGTGTGCCCCACACCTTCGTGTCTTCTCCAGTGTGCAGTGTCATTTCTTCAAGAGCTGAGCTACTGGGTGCAGTGCCGCAGCATTTACCCGGAGTGGAGCGCTTAACAGTTTTTTAACTTGATTTCCTTTCATGACAGCCATTCTCAAACAAAAAACAGATTATAGAATAAAGCCGTAGACTTTCAGAGTAAGGTGTGGCAATGGCGAGAACAAGATGCTCAGAGATCTTGTTTGGACATTAATAGACTCTCTGTTGCCATATGCAAAATTATATTGATCCAATGCCTGAGAAAATCCTACAAAGAAGTTTTTTTTTTTTTAACTGTATAAAGGGTGGAATAGTTCCCACTCTATGAAGTTTTTGTGGTAAAGCAATATTTAACAGATAATGATTGCTTAATTTTTTAATATAAGATTCTCTTAAGTTCCGATTTGGGCTTGCTGTGCGTAAAGTGTGTCAAACTTCAGCTACAGACCAGGGGGTGAAGTCGGTCAATTTAATTCCGCAAGATCTGAAGAAGGTCGGTATCATTTCATATAGCCCCGGCGGAGCAGATCATTACCAGGCACAAATCTGCTCCTTCGTGCTGGGGGTTTCTAGCAAAATAAATAGACTGTCATCATAAGTTCAGAAAATTGTGTGTTCGACCCACGATAATGTGTAAAGGGCGTTTAATAGAGTTCAGCATTTATTCGTTATCTGTATGCGGACAGAGACGGCAGTGGCGTTATCAGCTTTAAAAAAAAAATTCGGGAGTTCTGGGAGTCACGTGGTGCGCCTCACACATGCACAGAAGTGCACGCATGCGCACCCACCCACCCTTGCATGCTCCACAGTGCAGTTTTGATTTTAGTCACAGCAGAAGGCTTAACCACAAGAGATTCCACTGGTTCAAACCAGCGTAAACCAGATTTTTTTTTTCAGCCCACAAAGGAACAGATTACCTCTTGTATCCAATTCTGCATTCCGGGTGGGGTTGTGGGGAGAAATCTTTGTTTCAAAAAAAGAGATGTGGATTACCATAAGCCAGCATGATGGTTTTGCACACTTTCATGGCGTCTATGATAAAGCCAGTAACCCGAAAAGTGTCCAAATCACTACCTCTAGTGGAGTCTAAGCATTGTTAATTTGCAAAAAGCGACCATCTTTGTTTATTTCTATGCATAACTCTCAGCCTAACCAAAAAAAAAAAAAAAAAAAAAGGAAAGGGGAGAAAGATAAAGATTAGTAACGTCCCTTTCCTTAGCTTAGCTACAAATCCGGTGTGGAGTTTGAATGCAGCCATGCAGCACAAACAAGATAGAACATTTTTTTTGTTTTGTTTTGTTTTGTTCGAAACCCATTGAAAAGGCAAATGGACAGCATTTTTAAACACCCTTGCTTATGGCAGGGTGGCATTGCCCCAATGGACTCCATTGCTGGAGAGGGAGACGGGTTTTAAACTTTGGCCCTTTAAGGATCATAGTCAACTGGAGAATAGTGCCCCAGAAGGAAAGAGCTGTGCGGTCAATTCCCACATTGCCTGTCTCTGAGATTTAGTGTCTGCGGGTTTTCTGCTGTGATGTTCAAATGGCAAAGAGAAAAGACCCCGATGTGTGATAGGCCAGGTATTCTAGTTTAGGTTTTAACTTCATCTGGAGAACAGATTTGTTGCTTTTCCACATGGAAAGATGAGACTCTACCCTGGATGGCTGTGGGGAAAGGAATGAGTATTTAAAAACAATAACTTTTGTCTGGTGTGAACCAGGACTTCTAAAGTTTGACATTTAAAATTTTGCTAAGTGCAGATTGAGATGCCATACAATTAATTCTAAACCCTTTCTATAAAGGGTTTATGACTATTTGAATCTCCTCCTTGTAGATTTTAAGTACTGTCCAGGAAAACAATGAAATAACAGAATGAGCTGAAATGCATCCCTGTCCGCCTTGAATTGACACCAAATCAGCATTAGGTGTTGAGAACTCAGGGCCGTGGTGAACTAAGCATCACACTTTTAGAATTACACTGAACCATTCGTAGCATATTGGCCCGCATGTGTTAAGTGTGGTAA